CACCAGCCAGGGCTAAAATGGCTATAATGGCAACGCGTTACAGAAGGACGTGCTGACCCTTCGAAAGGTATTGTTGTTGCAGAGCTGACTTCTGACTCCACGGCGTCGCCCTGAATAGCGCACCGCACCGGCTTTCCTGTGACCAGAGAACAAAACCCGCATGTCTTTTCATGAATGTGCCCGCACCAACAGATGTTTGGAAACAGAGCACCGTAGAGCACAGCGAGACCGAGGTAAACTGAACCTGCAACATGCCGATGACGGTCTGTGAGAATTTCTTGCAGTTGCTGTAAGTCATGCCGTACCAGCTGACCCCAAACCGAACCAGAAAATCAATGTGGCAATGGCGCCGTCGCTGAAATGAATTCCCGTGATGGTGCTGGCCCGGAAGTAAACGGATGGAGTCGCGTCGAAGCTGAAATTAATTGCCGTAATGGCTCCGGACCTGAAAATATTATCCCGCATCTGCCCGAACCTGAAATGCGCTGCCGTAGTGGTTCCGGACCTGAAGTAGATTGTTGTAGTAGTTCCGGGCCTGAGAGTTAATCACCACAGGAGCTTTAATCCTAAAAATAAGTTGCAGCAAAGGGCGCCGGAGTTGAAACAAGGTGTCACGGTAGCACCGAGCCCGAAATAAACTGATGTCGAACCCGAAACTACCGTCGCAACGGTCCCGGACCTGGAAATATATCACTTCAGTGGCCGCAAACCTGAAAATAAGTCACCGTAATGGCCTCAACCCCGAATCAACCTGTCGTCGTCCCCATATCGAACCACGTGCACGTCGGATACCGTAGGACGCGGCCACTCCATAGCAATACCGAACCTCTCCGAACCATGTATCCTTACCGAGCCAAATACCACACTGTCGATCCAAGGTTGCATCACCCCATGCTGTCCATGCGACTCCCGCTCTCAGAACATCCCAACTGCGGTAATGTTAGTAATCAAGCAAATCAGGGAAAACGACGCATGAAATCTCAACCATCGGCAGTAGTGAAAACTGTTAAGTCAGAGCTGATGGCGGGTAATCAAGTCGAAATTTGGCCAATCTCTCAATAGTCATGGGTTCCCGTCCCTTTCATCGTTTTTAATCATTCTTCCTTTTCCTTAATTCTATTGTCGGAAATAACAAATTAACCGTAAATTCCCCAAAATTAAATTTCGAGAAAGTCTAAATAAATGGACGAATTCCTTTTGTTTCTTTCCTCTTTTACCATTTTTAATCTTTTTCTATGTTTTTAATTTCGTTGCCGGGAACGTAAAATAATAAGGGTATTTCCCCTAGAATTAAATATCGTGAAAAATAAAAAAAATTAAGGGATATTATGTTTTTCTCTTCTCCCCTATTGGTCTTAATCCCTTTTCCCCATCTTTAATTATGGTATTAAAATAGACAAAAAATTGAGGCATCATTTCGGCCCCGGTCGTATGCTGCAAAAACGTTGCGGCGAGGTCAGTTCCCGCGATGCCTCTCCGCGGCACGCCAACCCGAGCCTAACCCTCTGAACGACCGAAAATGACGGTCTCTAAATGTGCCGAGTGCGGCCACCCATTTCGCCATCTTTGAGGGCTACTCGTAAGGTTCAGTGCGCCCAAAATCAGGGGTGCCCTGAGTTCCCCTAGTCTCTGCTGCACGGTCAAACCAGAGTACCGTCAAAACACGGACTTGCCCTTGATCCTAAATCCCCAAACCGCGGATTTTTGGCGGCACACTGCTTGTGGCCGCCTGACAGTGAGCCCGGACCACTTCTCGACGCCCCCGTCGAGCCCTATCCACTTACGTTAAACGAAGCGGACGAGCCTCAGGGTGATGACCCGTAAAGGACRCCCACATCGGCGTTTAATTGTCTTATGTTTCAGTTTGTTATGAATCCTATGACTAAATAGATGTTTCTCCGCTTTCCTTTTCCCTCGGGATCTCGGCCTCGGTAGGGTCCTCTTTTTCTTCTGACGTCGGCCCGAGGGAGGTGCCGGGCCACTTGCTTGCCTAATGGGAACTCTCTGTCTGACCCTCTTGAGCACGAATAACCATCTCTTCTCCCTTCCTAATGCCAACCCTTTGACCTTTCTTTTCTCAATCCTTTTCCTCTTCTTGGAACTCTCCCCTGCCTCGAATCGTCTCGAGGGGGCTCCATCCTCCATTTTGGCTTTTCCTTTCCCTTTCGGGCTTGTCGGCGATAAGGTGGGCGCAGGCCTGGGTCTAAACTGCTTTAACCTAGCACCCGCCACTGGGTCCTTCCGCTTGGATCCGTCTAATTCTGCTATCATATATGCACCCCAGTCGAGTGCCCAACCACTCTGTAAGGTCCCATCTATCTGTTGGCGAGTTTTCCGGTCCAGTTCCTCTCCAGTGTTGCGTTGTAGAGAAGGACCATATCTCCTATGCTCACTCTCTCTTTCCTGATCTGCACGTTCTTATCCTATCTCTCTTTACCTGTGTCCCTTTCCACTGCCAGACGATCTGCCGTTGTCATAAGGTTGTTTTCCAAACCGTAGGCTATCTGTCTTGTTCGGGCAGCTATGAGTTCCTCTCTGGACATCTCCTCCGCCCAGTCGATGGTTGTCCAGCTGTCGATGTGAAACTCTATGGGGAGCGGACAATGCCACCCAAACCACAAGGTGTACGGTGGGTATCCAGTGCTAGCCCGGACCGTGACGTTGTCCGCCCATATCGCGTATCGAAAATATCGTGGCCAATCACTGTCCTTACCTTTGTACCACTTGGATAGTGACGCTATCAGAGTCTGATGCCCCCTCTCTACTGGAGAGTTCGACTGTGGGTGATAGGCGATGGCTATTGAAACTCTCGCCCAGACTCTCTTCAACACACTATGGACCTCGTCAGCTAGAAATTCTGCCCCTCTGTCCATCACTATCTTGCTGACACAACCATACCTAGATAAGTATTCCAGGACGAAGTTCTTTACTTCCCTTGCCGTCTTAGGCCTGATAGGTCTATCGTCCACGAACCCAGTGAAGTCGTCTCGTATGTTCACAACGTAGTTCATATTGCCTACTCCTTTTGGCATCTTCACCAGATCAATGTGTACCTTCTCTCCTGGTCTGGTTGGATAGGATGGATGAAGTGGCTCTTTGTATTTCACAAGAGCTCTCTTCTGGCACTCTTTGCAAGTCATACATTATCTCTCGACGTCCTTATACTGTCCTTCCCACCAGTACAGCCTGCGTACCTTTTCGTAAGTCCCTTTTACTCCTCTATGTCCTCCAACTACCCCGTCGTGAAGCTCCGCTACTATCGTCTGTCTCTCCTCAGGATCACAGACTACTCGTAATGGCATCCCCGACCCGACTGGTCGCCGGAATAGATGGCCCGCTCTAAGGCAGCACTGGGTCGCTTGTCTCCGGATATCCGAATCTTGACTCTCCTCCCCTGACAAATGTAGTCCGATCGTTCGGTATTTGCCCTCGTAAAGGTTAACCAGAAATTGCTCGGCGCGTCTCGGCTCCGCCATTGTCAGGGCTCCAGCTACTATCGGGCGTTCGACCTCAAGGGGGATCCATAAAAGCCCATCCGCCACAGCATTTCTAGTGTCAGATATCCTCTCAACTGTGTAATCATATAGCCGAATCCGTATTAACCATCGAGTGATGGTTGGGTCCTTCAGACTAAAGTCCTTCTGGAGGACAGAGGCGACCGCTGTGGGATCTACTCTGAAGATGAACCGCCGTCCATAGATATAATGTCTGAACGTGTCTAGACACCGCAGGACAACTAACACTTCCTTCTTGAATTGACTGTAGTTACGCTCTGCCGTATTAAGTGTCCTACTCTCAAATCTTAACGGTCTTTCCTTCCCTTTAGCGTCCTTCTGAGATAGCAGTCCTCCGACCGAACAAGGTCCAGCACCTGTGGATACTATGAAGGGTCTCCCTGCCTCATCATTAAAGAATGGCACGCCCAGTACGAGTCCTCCCTCCTTAATTCGTCTTTAAGCTCCTGCATAGCGAGTTCCTGCGAGGAATCCCGACCACTCCCAGAAACTGTCGGACCTCGATTGGACTATGTAACGGTGACGGTCAGTTTAGGAGTTTGTCTAGCTTCGCCGGATCTGCTCGGCGTCCTCTCGAGTCACAGATAAAGCCCAAGATCTTAATAGTCGAGACGACCCATCGACTCTTTGTCCCGATAACCGTTAAATTTGCATCGTCCAACTGCTCAAGCACCGCACAAATATCTGTTAGGTGCTGCTCGACGAATCTTCTAATTCCTGGTACAACCTCTGTCTCATCCTTGTTTACTGACCCCTTTATAGAAAAGTCATCCAGAAAAACTTCAACCTTATCAGGGATGAAGTCCTTGAGGACGGCTACCATGGCTCTCTGAAAAACGGCTACCCCATTAGTCCAACCCATAGGGACAACCATCATCTGTATAAGTCCCAATGGCGTATGCATAGCCGTGACGTGCGTGTCACTAAGATCCAGCGACACCTCATCATAGCCTGAGAACAAATCACAGACCGAATAAATCGACCTGCCTGCGGCGCCTTCAGCCAATAAGTCGGCGTGTGGCACGGAGCCCACGTCTCGTATCGTCACCGCGTTGACCTTCTGAAGGTCCTGGATCCACCGGATCTTGCCATTCGGTTTTCGTAGGAAGAACCATCGATTAGCATTAAGCGCTATCAGACGGCTCCGCAACATGGGAAACCATCTTTTCTTTCAGGAAAGTGATAACTTCTTCCTTCTCCTTCTGGGCGTATTTCCATCCTGCGTCATTCCAAGGAGCATGTGGAATCGTGTAAATCCTTGCTGGCTTAGCGTATCGAGGGTCAACCCTACCGCGCTCTGCGTCGCTGAAAGCTATTGCCTTATCACATGTCTTCATGATTTCTATCACACGTTCTCGCTCCTGTGGGATCAGATTTCCATCTCCGATGTCCATCCCTATATCCTCTCTTCCGTTAGGCGTTGCGGCTCCTTTTTCTTTCTTTCTTTGATTTCCTTTGCAATCTCTTCTTCCAATATTCCTTCTAGTGCAGATTGCTCGCGACCCACCGCCGCTGGCTTAACTTTTTAAGCTACTCGCTTGTATCGCTTGGGTAGCCCCCCATAGGGGGCCGTGCCCTTAAAAAAGACACGGATACCACACCGCCAAATTCCTCATCTGTCTCCTTTGGGTACGAGTTGCCGTCCACTATCAGCCAACTCCCTAAATCTTCCACTTCCATGATCCGACCTTCTTCCTCTGTGAGCATTGATCCATACTTCTTTTCGCGAAATCGCACTGTGCGACCGAAAATAGGTAATGACTTAATCTGATCACCGGGTCCCGCTCTCACAGCGAGAGCTGCTCTGTTCCTCGGGTCTCGAGGATCCACCGTCTCAATCATAACCCGCGTCCCATCTAGTTTCTCAATGGACAATGTCTGGCTCCCGTCCGGTCGCTCTATCGTTACCGCATGCACGTGGCTCAACCACGTTCGTCCCAAGAGCAGATCGGAGCAGCAGTTCTTGACTGCAAAGACAGGCAGGGACACTCGTACCCCTTGGACCTCTATGGCTGCCTTGTGACAAACCCCGTTGATCTGTTGTTTTCTCCCATCAGCCGTCTCTATCTCGAATAGGTATGACCTATCGAGGCCCAGTCCAACCTGCACTGCCAGATCCTCGTCTATAATGACAGCCTCACTGCCGTTATCGATCACAACATCTAGTACCGCTCCATCGTTTATGATCGCTTCTACAGCCCCACTACCAAGTATGTAAAACTTGTCTGGAGGCACACCTTCCATCCCATCAAGAAGGACTGTCGCCATGCGATCCGCTCTAGCAGTCATCCCCGTTAGTGCTACAGTAGGAGCATCCGCCTAGGGGCTCCCTGAGCCTCCTCTGATAGAGGTATGCGAGTCTTCCGCGTGATCATCTGTAACTCATCGCGAGCTGGCTTAGATGCCGCCAGATATTCTAGGATAGAGCACTGCATGGGCTATCGAAGGGCCCGCCTCAGTGGCTCAACGGTGTCAATCTCGTCCAACGAACTCTCCATCAAGAATTTCTTCACTCCCCGCTTCCGCAGTGAAAGAATAACCTCCTCTCCATCGATCCGCTGCCCGTCCTTTTCCGCCATCAAGTAATTTGTGTCAGTCTTCTTCGATGTAGATCCTCTCCCCGACTTGGTACCTGCCACCCTTATGGGTGCGGTTGCCATATCTCATTCGAAAGTTATCTTGATGCTCTGGCTCCTAACTGGCTCCTTTCCTTTACTCGGCCTTACTTTCCTTGCTTCTACATTCTCCTTCATCGAGGGGAACATTGATACGTCTCCCAGATCGTCTGCCCACTTGACGTACTTGCGGTCATCAAGCACGACAAGTCCCTCATCTATTGCCCGCTTGAGATCCAGGCAGTCTCACTTGATATGATAATCTCCTCTACAGTAGACGCATGAGTTCATGGGCGTAGATGGCCTGTTGTCTGTGCTCCTAGAGATCGAACCCCTGACTGCCCTGGGGTCAGGGGACTTGGGATATGGCCCCGATGAGGCGCCATATCCCCCTCTCTCATTCCGGCTACGCGAATCATTGTGGCGGTCTCCTCCAGATCCTCCTGGCTCATATCGTCCTCGTGAATCGTTTCGGCGGTCTCCAGTATCATATCGCCCGCGTAACTCATCGCGTCGATCTCCTCGGTTGTACCACCCCCGTGAATCGTTGCGCTGCTCTCTCGCGTATCCCCCTCTGTCATATCGTCCGCGCGAGTCGTCTCGTCGGTCCCCGTCTCGATCTCCTCTCTCATATCCGCCACCTCTGTATCCATCTCGATCCGTCCTCTCATATCTTCCGTCCCTATATCCATTCCGGTCTGATCTCTCATATCTGCTGTCCCTGTATCCATCTCGTCGGCCCTGATCTGACTCCCACCGGCCTCGAGAGTCGCCTCTACCCCGATCGGCCTCATAGCGAGGGCTACGCGAGTAATCATCCAGCCTCCTAGCTCGCCCATACGTTTCGCGAGCTCTGCGGTCCTGGTCTATCTCATCATCCCTACGTCACCATGGCTCGTCGTTTCTCTCCCTTTCCCTCGCACGATAATCAGTCAGCGTTCAAGGATTTCTATCCTCGACACTCCTCCAGGAATCAGTGTTCCTCCGGTCCCAGCGAAGTGAATAGGGCCCTCCGAGCTTGTCTCGGTATGTCGTGGCTCCGGTGGTGGTCACAATCTCTGTAACCTATTTTGTCAATCCCTTTACCATATCCCTTATCTCCTTCACTTCCTCGGCCACGGCTTCATTCTTCTTCGACCAGGGATAGTCCTTGAAATCAGGACATCTATCAGTGGCATACTCCTTGTAGAGAGAGAAGTCACGTCTCCTCATCCCTCTCCACACCAGGTCCTTGTAGTCGTCTGCCTCTGCCTTTATCGCGAGCTTTAGGACTTCTGGGAAGTCAAGCGTGTCGCGCGGAAGATCTCTAAGTATACTCTTTTGTCTACCTTTGGACAAGTGTCCGATGAAGATAGTACAGCGCTCGACCTCTGAGATCTTCCCCTTCTTCATCAACATTTCTGGAAACGCATCCCAAATGCCCGTACGCTCTCATCTTCTTCTTGAGTCATTGTCTCAAGGTCCTTGATGGAGTACTTGTTATCCTCCAATTTGTAAAGCTCAACGAGGTTCTTTTTGTACGTAGTCCATTTCCCATCCTTCGGTCGGGCTTCCTTAACTTCCTTGCCGAGACTTGGGTCCACATTAAATAGGAAGTTCTCTATAATCTCTTCCTCCGACCACTGACTCCGGCTGACGTGAAGCTCCCACTTCTCCAGATATTCTGTAATACCATAGCCCCTGAAAGTAGGAGGCTCTGAGGCCTTCTGTGTAATAATATAGCGATCCTTGCTCTCGTAAGGGAGCGGGTGTGATTCCCCCGTTTGGGGGTCGAAGACACGCCGGAGAGGCGCTCTGTCTCTATCTTTGTCCCTCCAATAGGAATCCCGCGAACTCTCTCTCCAGTCGTCCCTGTGCCTATTCGCCATGGTCTCCCTTCGCTCATATTCGGGGGAGCGTCGTCTCGTTGCTTCTTATCGGGCGCTCGAGGTTCCAGTCTTCAGAGCCTCCTGCGGCTCTGTCACGACCGGCTTACCCATTACGTCGGGCTCTCCGTCATTGGTTTGGTCAGCCCATCTCAGCGGTGCTTCCCGCCTAATCCTTTCCTTCAGATCCCTCAGTGCTCGGTCGGGCGATGTCCTGTACTCCTCCCCTGCTTCGCCCGTGGTCGGTTGTGACCCCATCGTGTCTGGTTCCATAGGCCACCAGAAGATGCAGATGGGCTCTCACGCCGGGCGTAACAGCCCGGACCTATGACAGTTGTCGCAGCCCGGACGTGTGACAGAACTCGCAACCCGGACCAGTTTCCTTGTCGCGGTTCACGCTCGTCTCCAATCCTAGCTCTCGACTGCCCTGATTACCGCCACCAGTACTCCGTTCCGGTCGCGGATCTCGTGCTCTCCCTCTATCCCAAGAATCCCTGTGTCTAGGTAAACCTCTCCTTCGGGATCGGCCAACAAGGCCGCGCCTCTCTGGATCTGCAGTACACCCGTGACAGGATCTCTACGCCTGCGGCAGATCGCGGTCCCAAGCCTAGCCAATGTCTCCTGATCAGCACCCCTCAAGAACCCTCGAGCGTCTATCTCCGTCCTCCTTGCTAGGTCTCCTAGCCCGTCCTGAATCGGGTAGCCTGCTAAAGGAGGAAGCTCCCCTCCTACTGCCATCCAAAGTCGCTCGTCGACCTTTCTGTCCTCCACTATCCTTTCAAGAGCTTTCAATCTTTATTTCTCCTCCTTTAACTCCCAGACAGCTATGAGGTCATTTGTCTAGCACCTGAGGTAAGTCAGTGCTATAATCACTCGTAACCTCATCGCCGACAGCTCCAATATATCATAGAATGTCTCAAAATCCTCCCCATCTCCACTATCCTCTATGGCTTCTAAAGTCTTTATCGATTCCCTCCAGTACCGATCGTGAGCGGCTAGCACCCTGAGTATTGCACCGTCTGTTACAACTCTCCCTAGCTCTCCAGTTTTCCTGGCTTCGCTTATCTTCAACCTCTCAGCCTTTCTGGTCGTCTCGTACCATGCCCTTATCTGAGACCGCCCTTCGAAAGGTGTCACTCGGAGTACGTATTTTATCCTTTGTCCTCCTTCTACTCCAATCCAAAGTCCTGTCCCCCTAGCCTCACGCAGCGCACGGCGGATACACTCTGCCTCCTCAACTATGCACAGTCTGGTATGGAGCTGGAGCTCTACGATCACTAACACCAACGGTCCGTCCAGTCTCCCTACCACATGCAATGAGTACCGATCCGTCGTGTGTAGTGCGGTCCCGCTCATGTCCTGTCGCTACCTCCCTACGTTGCCTTGTCCTCCGTTGTCACGCCCTCTGCAGACTTCTCCCCAGTTTCTTCGCGTGATATGCTCCTAGCCTTTACCCTCTCTAGAAAGTCTGATCTCCATGCCTGGATAATCTCTCTTTCCTTCCTGAACAAACTCTCTAACTCTCTCGTCACGAGGTCAATCCTATGCAGCTTGCCCTCATCATGGCACGACCCGATCTCCCTTATCTTACTCCCTAACTCCTTTACCTGGTTCAAGAGTGGTTCTTTAATGCGGTTTCTCACTGTTCCGATTGCCTCACTCTCCTCTTCCATACTCAGTCCTCATCTCTTTCCAACTCATCCTCTCACCCTCGCTCTAGCCTCCGCTACCGTCTCGTCGAGGAAGTGCTCCGCGCGCATATAACCATGTGACCATATCATCGCATCATAGGAAATTGAGGTCTGGAAGGTCACCTGTGCTAGTACATCAGCTCTATGCTCGTGGATCAAATCCCTGGCTCGTTGTCGGCACTCCCTCGCCGTCAAGTCCTTATCTATGTACGCTCGGAGAAGTATTGTCACAGTGTACCCTGTGCTTACCAGTTGCTCTCCTACGCGCATCACTGTGGCGGTCCTCCCCGACATTTCCTAAGCTGCGGCCTCGAAGAGAAACCTCACATCCTCTAGCCCCACGTAATCAATCTCCGCCCGTCTTCTGCAGTACCTAATCATATCGACTGGCCTCAGACAGTCCACCCAGCAAGTAACGTCTATGATGTCGTCAAGCGTCTCTCTGCTGGGCGGTCCCCACCTCACACAAATGGCGTAGTATACTTCCCTGAAACGGGGCGCTAAGCCCTCCCAAAGCGCGTAAAGTGTGTGGTCCATTGCTCTACTCAAACGATCTACGCTCCCATAGGTCTGCCCTATCACGAAGGCAGGAAGTCCGAATTGCCAATCCTCTCTCGGGTAGAGGGTCGGATGCGGAGGACCGTATACCAGGCGGCTCCAATATGTCCTCCCTCCAGAGAGTCTCGCCAGTTGCTGATTAACGATCACTCTGGCCAACAACTCGCTTCTCCACCAAGCCCTGCTTGCCCCTGCGAACGTCACTCCTACCTCTAAATCGTGTGCTTTATTCGCTATCAGATGTCCCACCCCTTCTAGGTCATGAGTCCTTTCGGGTCGTCCATCTTTCAGTATCACAGTCCAAAGGAAGAGTCCCTCTGCCAGCCACGTTCCCAGGTAACGTATCGGAACATAGCCTGTCCCCTCCAATACCAGAGGAAGAGGAATGTCGTATCCAACAGCCGTCACTCTAGGTCTCACAAGTTTCCTCACGCTATAGGATTCGGACTCTCGTGAGAGAACATAAGCTAACCAGGCTACTGAGTCACTCCTCATCTCCCCTCCGACTCTCGATCAGTATCACTCTACTCCCTCCGACGCACCCTATCTCTCGACGTGGCTAACTCCTCAGACAACTCTCCCACTCAGGTCCAGTATGGTCGAGTAGGTGCTGTGCGCTCTCCCGTCTGCTCCATGGAAGTAGATAGTAAACTCGACGTATCTCTGGCTCCTCCGTATCTCCAGGGCATGTTCCGTCATGAGTCTGATCTGTCGCTCAACAATGTCCAACGCCTCTCCTTCCCAGCCGTCCGTCCTATCTCGTCGTAGGGAAAGAGTCCCCCTCACTATATCCCGGTCTGCCATCGTTTCCCGCTCTCACTGCCACTCTCATCTTGCCTAAAGATATCTACTTACCGTCTCTCCGTTACTCCCCTCTCAAAGCTATACCCGGATATGCCCGGCCACTAATCGTCTCGCGCATCTGGCATATCCTCATCTCCATCCTCATCTTCCCTCTGACCCCATGGGATATCCTTCTGTCCCTCGGCCTGAAGGAGATGTCCCCAACTCTCGTCCTAGTCGTCCCAGGGGTTTACGTCATCGAAGTCCTCCCAATCCTGATCCTCAGCGTACCACGCAAGATCGTCAGCCTCCGGATATACCTGCCGGTAATACTCCTCAACCTTCCCGGTCGAGATGAGATGGCCCGGCCTCTCCTCACGAGTCTCGACTAACGGCTGTCCTACTCCAACTAAATGATCTGTAGGCCTCCGAGCCTCTCCCTCCAGCGCCGTCCAGAAGGCTAGGGGCTGGTATAGAGTGTATAGGTCAGGGCTCCCGGTAGGTACAATGCCCCGCAGGAACTCAATTAACTGGAGCCCTCGCTCGCCTACAAGCGGCCCCGCTACAAATTGCGCATACAGCACCCAGTCCCTGTCAGCGTACCCTCGGGAGAGGCCGTCCAAGTCAAAAGCCGCAAAGTAGATCTCACCCAGACGCCCAAGTCCCCAAAGCTCCTCCGCCACGAGGCACGGAAGTGTGACACACAATCAACTGCTAGGATATGGGAAGTGTCCTCCAATCCTGAAGGTCGTCGTTACTCTCCGAACACCCCCATGCAGTCGCTCTACCTCGCCGCGCGCGGAGTCCGCTCGAGCCAACAAGATCCTCCTCGCTGTCCGCTCCTCTCGCCAGTGATCGTGCACGATGCCGTGAAAATAGACCGTGGCTAGCACCTCCTGCGAGTAGTAAATGTGACCCACTACCTCTATGCT